CAGTTAGTACGAAGACGACCTTTAGTACTACACCGAATACAACAATAGTATGTGACTTGTCAGAATATGTGGCTTTTTCAAATGTCTAAATTAAATATCGATTTCCCTGTCGCCGATATTTTCACAATCAAGCAATCATATTTTGGCAATCAAACGATCGGTACACATAAATACATAGGTTGCAATTGTCGTTTCCTTTCCCAACAGATGGATATGTTGTTAGGACTATCAGTTAGTTGGCGACAATTCGCCTACAGTAGTTGCATCGACGACGTGTGTGGCATAAGCTGCAGGGTTGACTACAAAACGGATGAATGGACCATTTCCTCCATACAGCTGTGATTGAAATAAAAGCACACGTGCAATAAAATTCATATTCAGACACTGTTCACTTCAAAACAAAATTATGCTTTCAAAAATCAGCCAGAAAATGGCCGTCAAGATGAATGTAAGAAACGTCCTTAGGAATCATAATTTAATTTACAATAAAATAGGTTAAGTGTAGCAGTAGTCGGCATTTCAAGGATTTTCGCACTTTATACGTTTCGTCATCGCGATTGCATTTTCCACTATACTGTTTTTAGGTTCATCTGTTTCGAAATTTTTTCTTTTCAATTACGAAAAGATCACTGTAAAAATATACAATTTTTATATGGTTACATTTATTTAAGGGAACCCCACCCATTCTCGATTTTAATTTTTCAAGATTTTCAATGGGCTGTAAATCAATACCAATGCTTGTTTGTAACTTTGCACATATATATTTGAAGATTTAAAAGAGAAGAAAAATAATTTACAAAAATTTTTTGTTATTGCTTTGTTGTTGTTTTTTGTAATTAAAAAAATCCTTATTTTTTGATGGCGGGCATGGTAACTCCTCACTGGAACATCGGAATCCGAAAATTCCAACGGTGTTAGAAAGAGTACATGTCTGGCTCTCGTATGAACTAGGATTATTGACTTCGCTCTAAAATTAACAAAATCGCCGATTTTTGACCAAAAACCAAGGGCTTCTCAAACTTTAAACGCGTTTTTCTCTTTTGCGAACGGCGGGCACGATAACTCAAAAACTAATAACCCAATCGATTCCAAATTTTTACACGTTTCTCTGTGAGTGTATAGCTATCGTATGAACTAGGATAAAACCAATGGGTGAAGATCTTCACCCACTCACAGAGAAACGTGTAAAAATTTGGAATCGATTGGGTTATTAGTTTTTGAGTTATCGTGCCCGCCATTCGCAAAAGAGAAAAACGCGTTTAAAGTTTGAGAAGCCCTTTAGCCGTCACTTGATGCTGACACAATAAATCGGCTATATCTTCAAGAGTTCTTGAGATTTTCACTTGAAATTTTGTAGAGACATTCTTGAATTAGTGTAGAATCGAATTAAATCAAAAAAATTTGACCCCGAGAATGGGGGGGATCCCCTTAAGTCGCTCAGAAACATGAATTATCGCTAGTGTTGAATAGACAAAATGCAAATTTTTGGCTGAACACATGTACTTAGCTCGATGAAATTTTAGACAAAGATACACTATAGGCCAGGAATCCAAATTATTAGGCATTCTTACAAAAAATGATCAATTTTGGTTCACTATTTGGGGTTGCCTCCATATTACGGCAACCTCCTAATGTTTTTTTGTTTTTTTTTTTCAGATTTTGTGTGCGTTTTTCAAACAAATTGCCTGCAATTTAGTATTTTGAATTTTCATTGGGTCAGAAATATTCGTATCAAAAACTATCAAAATTGACCTATGAAACCTATGATAGATGAAACCAAATAAAGTCGCGATATTTTCCTAATATTATAAAACTGTTGCTTGGTTACAGTTATATATTTTATGTTTATGTTTTAGCAATGGATTTTTTAAGTTAAAATATAAAACTATTTTAGTTATTACTGTGTAAATACAAATGCTTGTATTTGTCCTAAATTGACCTTTATTATTGTGCCATGGGTGAAGTCTAGAATTGGAACTTAAAGAAACAAATTACAAATGGAACATACAGTGGTGGTCACAGAATTAAAACATTTACTGTGGTAAACATTTCTTGATCAGCCCTCGATTCGTTTGAAGTATTTTTGAAATTTTTTTAATTCGGAACAATTCGATATATAGCACATAAGAGATTTAGTGTGAAAATAGAAAATTATTGCATGCAATTTTTCCATAAATAACGGTTTTTATGAAAATACATCGACTTTGAAGTGGACATATAATTAAAACATTGTGTGATTTTTTACTTTACTGCATTTTTTTTGAAAATATTTTTAAAAAAGCTCTTTGCCAGAAACCTTTACACATAAACTTTCGTCTAACTATTAAAAATACGACTAAATGGACAAAATTATTTTTGTGTTAAGTTCATTAAATACAAATTAGTTTAAAATTAAGTTTGGTTTGTGTTTTTCTCTCATTTTGTATTTTTTTTTTACATTTGTGGCTGCACAATTGATGGTGGAAACATTAGTATTATTCAATCTGGTCGCGATTATTGTGCTTCGCGAAATGGTGTAGGAAAAATGACAATAAACATATTGCCAGCAATAACAAGTCAATATTGGCAACAGTTAACAGTCAACTGATTTGCCACCCAATACGACTATGGCTGCAACAATCCAAAACAACAACAACAACTGAAAACAAACATGTACAATGTTAACAAATTTGCCAAAGCACAAGAAAGGCACCCGTGCATCACACAATGCCGCCACGTTGCACAGTGGAACGAAGTGCAACGTAAAAGCTTATGTTATCTTCTTTCATTTTGCCCGTAGGCGTTTGGGTATTCATTCGTATATTGCATAGTGTGGTCTCCACATCATAAATTTCGAACTATTCGGAATGTTGAGAAAGACCCACTGTGCTCACGATGGTCCGTTGCAAATGGTAGGGTAAGTAGTCATCGCCGGCAGAGCGACAGACAACTATAAGAGACCACCCACTTAGTTAAAAGCTGGCGTTTATAAAGAATTGGCAGTAAGCAGTCAGCATTGTTGTCTACCTTTTACACTTCCAGGGGAAATTTATTAGATTAAGGTTTATTGGTCAGATCTGATGGCTTCTCAGTATGTGGAAATCTACCCGCACGGTGTGAGTGAGTTGAACGCAAGAGGAAAGCGTACACACACATGTGCAGCATGCATACGCCCGTCCTCACAGAGTACATGCGACGCCTAAGATTGATACAAAGTCTGTGGACTGAAGAACATATCGGTGTGTCGCGGATGAAGTTCTTGCCCAATCATTCAATTCGCGACAGTGCTTTGGCTAAATTTACGAATCTCATAAAAATATTTTATGGAATCAATAATGTTCAAGGCAAAAAGCGACCAGGCATTGCTTTTTCGCGATATGGGTGGCAATCGTAAGTGGAGTTCGTTTTCAGGTTTGGCGTCGTCCGCTCCGCTCCGTCAGTTCTTCCTTCCGCCTGTATTTCGTTTCTTCGCGTTTATTTGCATAATGTTTATTGTTGGTGGGTAAAAATTGAGTAGGATTTGTGTGGTGGTTTCTGTTGTTGTTTTCGATGTTGCTGCTGTTTGTTTATTTTGTGTACCTGGCCGCATACCAATAGCAGTTGTTGTAGTTGGACAATCATGCTTGAGAGACAGAATAGGCTTTCAATCTGATTTTACATAGATCTTCAATAACTCGTCGAATATGGGCGAGGAGAGGGCGAATGAAAGGAAGGCGTATGTATGTGCGCTATACTGTAGACCATCTTAACATAATTTAGTTAACATAACTCAAATAATGACTTCATTTACGACAGAGAGATAACATAGTGTCGCCCCCACTACATTTACAACACAGCAACTGCTGAACAAACGAACGACTGCGAGACCAGAAATGACAAATCAAAATGGCCGTATAAATAACAATGAATGTTATCGTCGTTATACAAGTATCTCCAACCCGATCCGAGAAGAAAAGAGACACACAATAATCTCTTGCATACAGTAAATGTTCTCTTAGGCACGGGATACACAGTATTAGTGTTGGCAGTAGGTGTGTGTTCCGTACAATATTTAGAATACTAGTACGTTTGCATGTCGCACACCGTTTTTTCCCTTGGGCGGCTACAATTTTTTAAATTTATTTTCCACAATTCGAACAGTGATTGTCGTCTCCCATTTCAGAGTTTTTTTTTTGTTTCTTCTAAACATTTGACAAATTTTTAATTTTTGTTTATTTTTACTTAGACTTTGGAGAAAGTCTTTTTTCAATATTGCTAATATTAATATATCAAAGTCTGTGTGTCTGTCGTGTCGTTTTTAACATTCGTGTGTTACTGAACTAAAATGTACCCGAAACGTTCGTTCCGTCACATACAATTCCATCCCTGGCAGCAGCGCACACTAATGAAGTTGTTCACAATATGTCCACGATAATACCGCGCGCACACTCAGCAAACTGCATCAGTTTGAAAATGATCTTCGTGAGGATAGGACTGTCGTATGTGTTAGGTGTGTGATACTCAAAGCCGATTCAAAAATAATAAAACCAAAAGAGGAAAGCGAAACGTAAACGCGCGCTGAACAGTTGTTTCTCCGTTTTCGTCGAATCAAATCGAGACAAACAAATTACGGAAATTCGAGTGCATTATTCCCAAAAAATGTGAATAGAAAAATTGTTGTTGGTTTTTTTCCGAAATCAAACAAAAATACAAAAGTCAAAAGGAAAGAGCCAGAGCACGCACGTAATATCTGAGTGCACCGCTGTCTCGCCAGAATACTAAGACTTTACAAGTGAAGAGGGAGAGCACACAAGAGTATGAGAAAATGATCGACCAAAATATATTTAATTTTAAGTGAGAATAAAAAAAAACAAAATAAAAACAAGAAATGAAGAATGAAAGATTGAAAGAAAAATATACAAATAATACAAAACTAATCGAGTGAAATTACAAAAATAATAAAAAAAAAACAATTCTCTTGGAGAAAAAAAAAACAAAACAGAACATCTATCCGCACAACAGCAATTCCACTTACTACACACATCGAACAAATGCCGTATGCATAAAAACTTGGCATCATTTGGTGGAAAGAAAATACACAACAAAATATGGTTGTGCCTACAATGGATACTCTACCCCGCGTCCCCGACACACATGGCGATGTTGTCGACGAAAAGCTATTTTCCGATTTATATATTCGCACAACATGGGTTGATGCCCAAATAGCTTTGGATCAAATCGACAAAGTAAGAACAATACCGCAATTTAACATAATAACATTTACCTTATAGATGAATTCAGACCACATCTAGGAACCGTTTCCAAGTCTAGACTGTATACATATGTATATAATTTTGATGGTATTTATTGTTTCCATGATCACAGACTTTGTAGAGTAAGCATTTTATAGGGAAACGCAATACCAATTTTGAAAATAGCTAAAAACCTTTAAATTGTAATTCACGATAATACTATGAAATATCGAATTAAACCTATTTGTGAAATGTCTTTTTAAACTCTTTTTAATATGCAGAAAATGGTTTGGAAAATATTTATAAACCACCCACCCAACGCCATTAATTTCGAATATTAATTATTACAACCATGGTCTATTGAGTAAGGTCTACCGAGTGGCGAATTCATGCATTAGTCTTATCTTGCTGACAACTTTTTAATCGCGAAATACCAACCAGAACAGAATTAAAGCTCAAAATAGAATTGTACACCTATTATTCAAACAATAATCGTTGATAGTCAATGAAGACTTCAGCTGGTATTACTGGTTAAACTTATTAATAAACCTTGATTAAAACCTTAGAGACAAATATCAATTAAAGGATCTCTTACTATTGCAATAAACTTTTGCAAAAGAAAAAAAAATACACTTCCACAACATTCTATCATAACAAAGTCTTCGAATGTACGTTTTTAAATCATTCCGTTTACTTAAGGAATGGGAAAACTTCAGAATTTTGCAGATGCCCCACTGTAATGCTAAAGAACATTACATGACTTTCAAATCACATTTTCGAACTGAATGAATTAATACATGGGGCAATTGTGAATATATATACATATGTTGTGCCCGGAATCAGTATTTTAAGTTAATGTTTCCGACTCCAGCTCAATTAATCGACCCCGTAGGCCTGGTATGTACACATAGAAATTGTTTTACCGTTACCAAATTCACTTGTTCTCAACCATATCTAGAATATTTTGTAATAATTCAGTTGTATACGCCGATGTTGTACGTAAATTGTAGTACCAACCTATCTGTCATCTCAATGACCAAATTATAATGACAAAAATATGGGTTTTAACATGGGGCCACTTCTTTTTTAACATTTGAAATGCCTTTAATTGGTTGTAGATTAGATATTCAAAAATTCGAATGTCGAATCATTTTCTATGAGGCACACAAATCGTCAGTTATTTTACAGTAAAGTCGCATATCCGGGACTTAAACAATGAGACTAGGTTTGCCTCGTGATGCTAATGGAACATGTTGGTTTATATCTCAATTTTTTTCTTGAGTGTTTGTACGTTTTCGTTTCCGCTACAAAAGTTTTACTACAACAAAAACTGTCAGTCTTTCCACCCATCCCATAGACTACAACAGTGATGGTTTTTTTTATCAGCTGCCTCGTTGTAAATAGGAACACCCAGAAGAGCTTTGATAGAAACGATAAAAGAAGAAAGAGAGGTATTGATGAATTACGACGGCAAAGACGAACCACATGAGTACTCTACATCATGTTATAATCAGCTGTTGCAGCAGTGGTCTTTGTTGTTGAATTTCAACACTCGTTTTGCCCAGACCTTTGGAGGACTTTTTTGGAGGGATTCAATTGGGGTTTGTACATTAACATGACAAACAATACGATTTGGGTTTGTAGTCGCCTATTTATTTGTATCGGCTATTAAAACAACTTACAGTTGCAGTATCAGTGTTATTCTGAATTGGTAATAATACTCACAATTATTTACCTCTGTTAGCCAAATAACAAATACGATGACTAACATGACATGCGGTGCGATACAAAGTAGATATAACAACAGAAACAACAAAACAGAGAAAAACAATAACATCATCGCTGGGCATAAAATACAGACGTAAACGTAAATCGAAAATAATGAAGACATTAAAAACGTTAAAACTGGCGAACACACACAGACATTCAACGACGGTGGTAAGGTAGATGGATGTATGGACGGACGCACGGACAGACAGACAGATAGCCAGTCAGCCCAGTCGACCACAGAGAAAGATGTATCGTTGGAATTGGACACAAACGAACCCATTCAGAGCATTTCAACAGTAACAACCATTATGGTATAGTAGAAACAACAACAGCAACACAATGGCAGCAATACAACGCCAGCATCTTCACCATCGTCGTCTTTAGTCCAGCCCTAAAGCGAAACGTCTATAGTATGGATTGGTAGGTACACAAAAGCAACGACGAAAGAACAAACCTTGGATTTTCTACATTTGATCACCGTACGAGCACGGCGACGAAGACGAACACGAGTCTGTAAATATGTAATGTGTGTCTGTGCCTATGTGTGTGTAACTTCATGAATTCTTGTTTTTTGTTTGTTTGCTTAGTGGCCCCTTTCAGGCGAAGCAGGCATCTGGACTTACGAGTTCAGCCAAAGTATCCATAACAAGAAGGAAGACGGAAGAAGCAAAATGAGTGATTTTCGTTAGTATAACGACTGCATGGAACGCCCTCGATGTGATCACTGGGAATGCGGTAGAAATGATGACATGTTTGGATTAAAACTAGGGCAGATTTTATTCCAATTTCTATACAATTGAGTTGTTTGATGCATGAAGTTCGCCACGACATGCCTATGTCCGAGGGGAAGGGGGAGGTGCACTGAACTAATATATGTGAGCTTATTATTCGATCTAAGGTGTCTGACTATATGACCACCATATCCTCGAGTTCACAGATGCATTTGAACGTTAACTGAAAATGAGTAAATAAATATTAAAATGTATAAATATAAAATGTTGACTTGACTCACTGACTGCGAGTATTCGCCGCGGCAAACCCGTAAGGCGACAGTGGCCACCCATGGCGACTACAACTATAGAGTGGTGGAGGTTTGTGTATGTTTGTATGTTATTTGCCCACCATGTGCAGTCAACGCCGTCGTCTCCGTTAAGACCACCATCACAGCCGACGTTGGCTTGGATGTGTGTTGATTCGGCAATACGGAATGCACATCCCACAGTCATCGTAGATGTTTAAATTTATAGCTGTTTTATTGCACTTGTGATCACTGATGGCTGTATTTTACATTACCGCGGAGTACGGCATTTATGTATGTATGTGCTGCATTCGCTTTCGTAATCGAGTAAAAGTTTTCTATAGTACGTCGGTGGGTAGAAATTGCACTGATTTTTTCATCATGATGTCCATGGATCGGATACTTCAGTATTTTCTTCATTATACTATCAAATATGTCTGATAAATTTCAAAATTGAATACTCGGATTCTTTCAATTTCTTCATTCGCATGTATTTATCCATATATGTGTATGTATATAGGTGATCCGCCCAGTATATCAAAAATCAAAGAGAATCCGACAATTTTTTCTGCTTCAAGAACATCCTTTTGTTGAAAGAAGCGCTGTTCTCCATGGCTAAGCACGTAGTAAATACCACATATTGTTTTTCCTGTTTCCGTTAACAATTAGAAAGGAATTTCTCTATGCGAATAAGCCGGTTATTTCTTTATAACTCGGTACTTAATCGCTTTGTGTTGTGCCGATCTTTGAACACACGGCATATTTGGTCTTGACACAAATAAACAAATTGCAGTGGCAATGGGGCGAGATATTATAAAGACATCAAAAACATGTCTTTATAATATTTCACACAGTCCGACGTTCTTTAAAAATAGCCGACCATTGCAATCACTACTTTGAGAGATGTATATGAACCGGAAAGAGAATACGAATACAAATACAGGTCAATTCTACAGCCGTAATGGCCGACCATACATTAACTACTCACTCGACACGATTTTCGAACAGAACGAAAATTGGTTGGACAAGCTGTCGGCAGCGATCATCTTGTGAGTGCGGATGAAGACATTACCTGGTCATAAAGATACCTGAGCACACACACATCGCTTTATAACCTACCTGAACAGCTTTTGTTAATGATTTACCGAAAAAGAGGACGAAAATGCGGCACAGTTTTACGATTCTTACAGTTGTCTACAATATTGAATTGTACAAATATTCAAAGGGTAATGATGTGTTATAGGCTTACGGATACCACTGAAAACATGTTACAACGGCTTCATATTTCCTAAAACGACCTCTTCAGATAATATTCTTAATATTCAATTTATTGTGGTGTTTTTCTCAATGGAAATGCATCGTCAATCGCAAAAACGCTACTTCAAATCAATCTTGGTGAAGAGGGAAATGACGCCGATCGATGTGATAATATCGTCTTGCATGTGACCCTCAAATATGTTCTTAAATATGACCCGTATCCGCCTCTTCATCTAAACATCAAGGCGAAACAAGCAAGCAGCTGTTATGTTCCTTGTTTGTGTAGCAACTCACTACATGTCCAAACACACATACACAACACAATTTCTATATTCGTACGCATTTGCGTATGTATTATGTTGTTGAAGCACATGTGTATTTTCATATATATATATGTATACATATGTTAGTATGCGCGTATAATGTGCTTTGAAGAAACTCAAAAAAATCGAATGTGCCCGAATACATCTTCTTGGGTGTCCTACAACAATTGTGAGAAATGTCATTTGCCTGGTTATTAGCATCTCGTATTCCCAATACATATGCATGCGTGTGGTGGTAGTTATTGTCCACATACACATTCAAGCTGGGAATATAGAAAACAATTTCAATTATGAGGGTACGGATGTTATTAGGATGGTACACTACATAATACCAATCGGCATATGTACACAAGAGTATGCCAAATGTTAATACAAATACGTCGATTTTCAAGACAGACTAGTTGGTTAATTAGTGTACACTACATTTACTACATATATTAGTGGGTTTGCCATTGTACACTGGGCACTGTCATTTTGTATTGTGATAATTTTTCAATTCATTTGAATGGCCAGATCTAATGTCGGGTTCGAAAATTTTACTAGCAGTGGTCCAGCAACATTAATCCAGGCATGGTCCTTAGATAAATTACACACTTGAGGTACTTTTTTACCTTAAACTGTGCACCATCAAGGACACACTCGTTAGAAAAACTCATGCTCCAGCATGGTAGTAGAAATTACTTGGAAGTTTATTTTCTGCTGCATTGATATATGATCTTAGATGTGCCATAAAGGTGTTAACATGTCGTTAAAACAAGTAGAGGGTACTATTACATTCAGAGATTCCTAGAACGACCAACGGGCATCTTAATCCGGCGCACACCCACACCATTTGCACCGCTGGTGCCTGCCTTCCAGTCACACAACCCCCTAGCGATTTTTAAGAAATCGCACATCCATTAACAATGCCATTGCTGCGAACCCAGCACGACATTGCTCAAACGAAGAATATGCTATTAACGCTTAACGGAATCCCTTACTTCCAGATTCATGAATTCCGTTTAACTGCAGATTGGTATTCTACCTGTGTAAAAGATGCGACGAGGCATTATCCAATTCCTGATCAAAGTTATTAATGTCTTTACTTCCCGTTTTCGCATTTCCTGAGAAAATGTTAATGTCTCAATTATAAGTTTACAGTCATTTCTATCAAGTTATAAACTCTGTGGGCAGATACCAACAGCCGACACCGAGTGAGTTTTTGTTCGAGAATCAATTTCGAGACGATCAAACAACGGCATTATAACGCCCGATCGCAATTGTCCAAGTTATAGTTTTATGTATTTGATGTAACCGGAAAAAGATTTGTGCACAAACATGTAGAACAAAACAGAAAAATAGTAATACTGGAGTTTGGCGGATTTGTAAAACATTCCTTTATATATTCTTAATTAAATAGATAACAAATTTATGAACGCGTTTGCAACAAGTTTGTTTTTGTTATAGATTGTTTATATGAATCCACCTTATTGTACGTTCCATAACCAAAATATAATTAAATCACAAATGTATTGGTCTATTTCGCAAAATATTAAACATAAGTGAATAAAATGTTATTTTTATTATCCTCATCAAATGAAGAAACTGATAATCTTGTTTTTCTAAATTTACTTTTAAAACAAATATCTTTGAAATGACCTTTATTAGATGAGATTTGTACGGTGGCGATATTTTTTATTTAGAACCGGGAGACTCTTCATTAGTTATTCTTACGACATAATTCAATAAAATTGTTGGTTCATTTAACCCGAAGTTTCTCTATACATATTTTGACATTTTTTTTTTTTTTTGTTATTCTAGGGTAAAGCCCGCGGTAATCGTACATCAATTTACCTACGTTCAGTATTTCAATCACATTTCGAATCTTTGGGCAGCTCTGTGCAAAAACATGCCGGAAAGGTTCTATTTGTGGCAATTCTAGTATTAAGCACATTCTGTGTTGGCCTTAAAAGTGTACATATTCATTCGAAAGTGCATCAGCTATGGATACAGGAGGGTGGACGACTCGAGACCGAACTAGCATACACTCAAAAGACAATTGGAGAATCTGAGAGTTCAACGCACCAATTACTTATACAAACTGGACACGATCCGAATGCATCCGTTCTGCATCCGCAGGCACTGCTGACGCATCTAGAAGTTCTGAAGAGGGCCACTGCGGTTAAAATACACATGTTTGACACAGATTGGAGTCTAAGAGACATGTGTAATTCGCCAACGACGCCAAGCTTCGAGGGACCATTTTACATTGAACAGATATTTAAGCACATCATTCCGTGTTCCATAATAACGCCGTTAGATTGTTTCTGGGAGGGAAGTCAACTGCTGGGACCAGATTTTCCCGTTCAAATACCGTAAGTATTATTGGAATTTTTCTGAGGTTGGACATGTCTTATGATAACGTTGTTTTTTTTCAGGGGCATAGACAAACGCATCACCTGGAGCACGCTTAATCCTTCGAAACTAATGCAATCGATGAAGAAGCAAATGAACGATCAAAAGATACCCTTCGATTTTGACACAATAGAACAGTATATGAAGCGTGCGGCAATTTCATCTGGCTACACCGAAAAGCCCTGTCTGGATCCCAAAAATCCACAGTGTCCTGAAACTGCACCGAACAAAAACAGTGACTTTCCCTTGGACGTAGGAGGAGTATTGACTGGTGGTTGCTACGGGTTTGCTGCCAAATACATGCACTGGCCCGAGGAGTTGATTGTGGGTGGTGTGCAGCGCAATCGCACCGGCCACTTGAAACGAGCCAAAGCTATTCAGACTGTGGTACAGCTGATGACCGAGAAGGAAATGTTTGACTTTTGGAATGAAAACTACAAAGTCCACCACATTAGCTGGACACCCGAAAAGGCGGCAGAGGTTTTAAATGCCTGGCAGCGGAATTTTTCCAAAGAAGTGGAGAACATTATGAATGGCCCAAACATGTCCAAGAAATACAATGTGTACGTGTTCTCTTCGGCCACATTGGACGACATTTTGGAGAAATTCTCCAATCCGAAGCCTTTAAGTATCCTAATTGGAGTTATTGCCACCGTGAGCTATGCCTTCTGCACACTCATTCGTTGGCGGGATCCTGTGAAGGGACAGTCCAGCGTCGGTGTAGCTGGGGTGTTATTGATTGGCTTTTCGACTGCAGCTGGTTTGGGTTTATGTGCCATTTTGGGTATTGTGTTCAATGCAGCCAGCACGCAGGTTGTTCCGTTTCTAGCTTTGGGGCTAGGAGTTGATCACATATTTATGCTTACGGCTGCGTATGCGGAGAGCAATCGCAAAGAGCAAACCAAGTACATTTTGAAGAAAGTAGGCCCCAGTATACTGTTTAGTGCTTGTTCAACGACAGGAGCATTTTTCGCGGCCGCATTTATTCCGGTGCCTGCACTGAAAGTGTTTTGCCTTCAAGCCGCAATTGTTATGTGTTTTAATCTGGCGGCGGCACTGCTCGTGTTTCCAGCCATGATATCATTAGACTTGCGAAGGCGGACAGCCGGCCGAGCTGACATTTCTTGCTGTTGTTTTCCTATATGGAAAGAACCGCCTGCCAATAATTTCCAGCAGATACAAACTAACAATTCCTTAAAGAATGGCCGTAGTAGTTTCAAGAGCCATGGAAGCATGCAAAGCAAATCCTGTAAAAACATTAGACCGACACCCGCACACAGTACTGCGCGGCAAGACGACGCGCTATTGTCCTGCTCGGCTGAGAAAAGCCTACCATCATTTTCTCTAGCCAAGTTTGCCGTTAAGTACTACACGCCATTTCTTATGAAGAGCTGGATTAAGTTCATTGTCATAACATCGTTTGTGGGTACGGTTATATTCAGTCTGTACGCCTCGACAAAGCTACAGGATGGCCTGGATTTGATAGACCTAGTACCCAAGGAAACGAATGAGTACAAATTCTTGAATGCCCAAACGTCAATGTTCGGCTTTTATAGCATGTATGCGGTTACTCAGGGAAACTTTGAGTATCCAAATAATCAACGACTCCTACATGAATACCACGAAGCCTTTGTTCGGGTGCCCCACGTCATTAAAAATGACAATGGAGGCCTACCAGATTTTTGGCTGTCCCTTTTCCGTGATTGGTTGCGAAATTTGCAGAAAATATTTGATCGTGAGTTCAAGGATGGTTGCATCAATCAGGAGGGTTGGCATCCTAATGCTACAAGTGACGCGATACTTGCATACAAGTTGCTGGTGCAAACGGGGCACGTGGATAATCCGGTTGACAAGGCATTGGTAGTACAACACCGCTTAGTAGACAACGAGGGCATAATAAATCCCAAAGCATTCTACAACTACCTATCCGCTTGGGCAACAAACGACGTGTTCGCATATGGTGCCTCTCAGGTTTGTAGTTGCCAAAGATAAGATTGTTAATTATAACTAATATTGCGTCTTTTATAGGCGAAGTTACATCCTGAGCCTCGTCAATATTACCACGTTCCGACGGAAACTGACTTGAAAATACCGAAATCTTTACCTCTGGTTTATTCCCAGTTGCCATTCTATTTGCATGGCTTAACAGATACATCGGAAATTAAATCATTAATCGCCCACATCCGAGACTTGAGCATGCGCTTCGAGTCGCGAGGATTACCCAACTATCCATCTGGTAAGTGTCTAATGAGCGACGCCTGCCGTATTGGAATTTTAATGATTGCAACGTTCTCTTTGCTCAGGTATTCCATTCATATTCTGGGAACAATACATGACCTTGAGGTCTTCCCTGGCTATGATTTTGTCATGCTGCATCATAGTGGCATTCATTCTAGTCTGCATTCTTTTACTTTCGATGTGGGCCGCTGTTTTGGTCATAGTAAGTGTGTTGGCTTCATTGGCACAGATTTTTGGAGTTATGGCGGTATTGGGTATTAAGTTATCGGCTTTGCCTGCTGTTATTCTCATACTGAGTGTGGGCATGATGCTTTGTTTCACCGTTCACATTACACTGGTAAGTAGTACCCATTCTCACATTTTTAGCAGAGCATATTTTTGATTTGTATTTTTAAATGATGTAGGGTTTTCTAACTTCTGTTGGTAACCGCGAACGTCGTATTTTGTTGTCCATGCAAGTTACATTGGGCCCACTGACTCATGGCATTCTTACGTCAACACTCGCCGTTTTTATGTTATCCACCTCACCGTTTGAGTTTGTCATTCGCCACTTCTTCTGGCTACTTTTAGCTGTACTTTGTGTGGGAGCTTTTAACAGTTTGGTAATGTATCCTATAGTATTGAGTATGGTTGGACCAGCGCCAGAACTTATACCACTAGAACATCCAGATCGGATTTCGACCCCCTCTCCACAAATGGCACGCAATAGTAAACGAAACAATAAGAACATCGCCATGGGATCAATGCGATCTTCATCACGTAGTTGTCAGAAACCGCACTACAATTATAAAGATAACAATGACCCTTCGTTGACAACCATTACTGAAGAGCCACCCTCGTGGAAATCATCCAATTCGTCGATACCAATGAATAACGAGTGGACTGGTAACAGTGGAGGAGGAATGGCGGGAGGACATTATGGCAACAATATCAATTATGCAAACAATATGAACTACCACCATATGACCGCCACGACAAGAGATGCGCCACCGAACTACATACGCCAACATTCTGCAAATACCCCACAACAACCCCGTTATCATTATAACCAGCAGGCAAATTACAATCCTCATCACGTACCGCCACCACCACAATATCATCACAATCAACAACCGCCACCACAAAGCACATCCACATCTTCCTCGAGCAATGCATCTTCGGTCGGTTCTCATCAAAGCCCCAGCTCCAACGTGCATGACGCCAACATCGGCATGGAGAGCTTTCCGCCCGAGTTACAAAGCATTGTTGTTCAACCGGAAGTTACCGTCGAAACGCATCACTCTGACTCGAACTCTACGAAAGTAACTGCCACCGCCAACATTAAAGTCGAATTAGTCACACCAGTCCGATCGGTGCGCCGGTACAATTTCACACCATCATAGCAATAAAACAACAATTAACCAAAATCCCTCCAACTACACAATTACAATTAGATAATTTAATAACTATTTATTAAAAATAAAACTACTACTAAAATGTAAGATTGTCCCACTGTATATATGTGTGTATATATGTATCAAAAATGAAATTATAACCAATGCTCGAATATTCCTTTAGACCTGATCTTAAACCAAATCATTCACTCACGAAAATAACGAACTTAATCCCTATGGGACGAAATACCTAACAATGCGAACAAATGGACTTTGTAGTAAAATGGGCGCTTCCAATAGACCATCATTAAAGCTCGATATAAAAAAGGCTGGACATAAGAAGAAGATTACAACAGTATTGCTTGGTTCATATTGTCACTAAAAATGGAATGGACGCACAAATTGTCTAAATTAGGACTGAATGTAATTTATATGTACATTTTTAATACGCCGTTTGACTTGGCACTTTTTTATTTAACTGTTTATATTATTATAATGTAAAATAAAACTTGTAAGTAGAATAAACATTTCTTCAACCACGTGTATTTATTATTTTATTTGTAAATTTGCGTAAATTCAGCACTCATATCATTGCAATCTCTGAATGTGTGCGACTTATGTCAGTTTGAAAACACAACATTCAACATCAACTATAAAATAAAAGCATAAAGTCTGATCAACACTATCGAGGGTTTGCTCGTAGCATCACATATAAAAAAAATTAGCAAACAAAGCTACAGCTTCTTGATATTTTTAACAGCTACAAAATAACAATTAACAGCTACAGTATACACTAACAGCTACAACGCGACAAACAATTAAAGCTACACACTAAATAATAAATATAAAATTAATAAAGTCTCCCAGTTACAAATTTAATAAAAAATTGCATCTGAAGACTATAATAAAAATAGCAATATATCCATATTATTTTTAATAAACTTTTAAAAAGATTTTATAAAAAATAATTAAATGTTTTTGACATGGTACTTCTAATATGAATCTATAACAACAAATAAGCTGTTGTAGAAAGTTGTTACATCAAAAGGTCAGCATTTATAACATTTTTTTAGAAAATTTTGTGTGCACAGTCGAATTCGGTTAAGCGAAAACGCCTAATTTCAGGAAATGTTTTTCTCTTAAGCAAGATTTTCAATTAAAAGAACTTCGGATAAGAGAAACTCGTTGCGCTTAAACGAAGTTTCCAGTCAATATCTGAAAAATCGTGAAATTTATAAATCATATTATAAAATTAATTAAATAAGAACTTCTTTTTTCATAGACATTTGCTTGAATGGTTGGAAAAATGTGCAACATTATTTTAGGGTTAGTTTAAAATTTTTAGTTTCAATTAACAGATTTTTTCGATAAACCGGAGTTCGCTTATTCGAATTCGACTGTATTTAAAGAAATATTGTTATCAATAAATCCCCCAAAAATGTAAAGATTTCCATTCAAAATTATGTTTTAATTTTTTTGTGAGAAAATATGGTATTGACATATGGGCATTTTCGGCAAAAGGTACACCTTTGTGGTACACCCGATGTCACACATTCAACATTAGAGCAGAAACCGTTTGCAGGCACATAACGTAGCCGACCAATTAAATAAGAGAAAATTAATTTGCATGCCGTTTTTGAAAAATTAAAATTATTACGTAGCATAGGTATTAAAATATTGTGGTTTATGCGATCAAAAGCTTTCGTTAGATCCAACAAAACCATTAAACATTAAACAAAACTGCAATCATTATCCTACCATACTATACCACATTTTCTTAAACATTTCACTACCATAGAGATTTACCAACAGCTGCTTAGATGGATCTCTCCTCAGTTTACAGTGTTGTAATTTGTCAGAATACAGAAATAGGTTTTGCCAACATACAAATATCAATATATAAATTAAATTCCCAACTCAATATGAGGAGGAAACCCTAATTGGTTAATTAGTCTGCTCCAAAGGACAGACTACACTTTGAGCTTTCCAAAATGATGTCATTTGTGAATCTCCTTTTAAATAGAATAGTTTTGCGGCAGGCAAAAGTAAATCTTATAGGAGGTGATGCAAATGTGGTATACTCATTTCTTTTTAGATTGCCAAATTTTTATTTTTTATCCGATTAAATTGAAATTTTGCAATTAACATGCTACATGTGTTGTCTTTCCATGTATCAATATGAAAATAATTTGAAATATTTTAACAATTTAAGAGATATTTGAGAAGATATTTAAAATTCCATTAAAAGTGATTTTAAAAAAAGTGCAGGTAATGTGGTATACCACATGATATCTTATAACTTGATATCAATTGATATCTTATATAATTTATTCTTTTTAATGAATGCGGATTAGCTTGAGATTTATGTCTGTAAAGATTTTACTTTAATTTTTATTATATAATAATGTCTACACATGGCAATATTTCATTCTTGTATGGAGAAGTTGTTAAAACTCATAACCTTTGCTTTTCATCCTTGTGATTCATGGTAGACTCTCGTAGAGTACAAATGTTTCAAATAGTAATGAGATTTTGTCTTGGGCTGGCTCTTTTTCATGCAGACTCAAGGTATACCACATTACCTGCACTTGTGTTTACTGAATAAACGTACAGTTTTTTTCTTAAATTGGTATATATGTGGTCAATTGAGCATATTATTTGATTTTTAGCACTTACTAATTATTTTAATGCTTTAATAATAAAGATTAAAATACATTTGTAAAACAAAAAATATTGACGTTTAAAAGTCAACCGAAAAAAAGTAAATTTCATGAAAAATTTAATTTTTGCTACTGATTAAACTGAGTTAAATAAATGAAACAGATCATTGCTATCTTATTTTTTTGAGAACAGCAAACTATAGAACATGTTTCAGTCATTCTAAAATTTTCATTTTACAAAAAAAGTGACTATACCACATTACCAACCTATACCACATTTGCATCACCTCCTCTATCGTTTTTACTAAACTAGAGTTGTTCTGAAGTTGCGTTCCTCTCGATTTGTCTGTCTGCTGATACGTGAATACCCCACAGATTACAAGATAGCACACATTTTACTGTGAATAGCCTCAATTCGGCGCTGCCTTTCCCTTCTCCCTTTCTCAACAACCGGATCTCTCGAACGATGTTCATCACACCCCATTCGTAAACATTTGTCTGTTCACTATGGTTTCATTCTTTATCAACCATTGTTTCTTTCTCCCTATGTCCCATTGTCCTATTAGCAGGTGGAACGTTTTTAAAGTCGGTAAAAGCGCGCAAAGGAAGTGATCACGGGTGATTAATTAAATTAATTTGCTGTCTTTATGGTTATGAAAGGGATCACTTTTGAAAAGTATCTATAAATATATATATTTATGTAATAAACATTTTATATAAATGTTATTATATTATTTTGAGTAGACACTCTTTCGCCTGATATGGGGAAGGTAGTATGACGATGTCGTTGTTATGGAAACAATTGGCGAAGTGCAATACAGAATAAATATAGTGTACTCTTTTCGAGTAATACAAAATTTGATGAAACACTCCAGATGTTGGTCATATTAAGGAAGCGTTAACAACAAATGGTTTCGGAGCACAACAAGTCGATTAGAATTAAGCTGAAAAAGAAACCAATCGAAAGAATGTCTTTTGAAAAAGTTCTTTACAAATATGAAGAACCCCATGGCCCGGGAGATGTATATTTTATATGGCAGAAAACGCACGGATCATTTTTAGCCACCACTGGGAATGACGGATCAGTAGCGATATTTAACCGACAGGGTCAAATGTTGGAACGAATAATGTTGTCAGGGTATGTACAAAATGTGGTAAGTGCGATTTGTTATCATGGAGTCTATCGACTATTATTTGCAGGCTATGCTCGGGATTTGCCTGGGACAATGGTGGTGAATTATTGGGTATAATCACAGCTACATCGCCAACCATTATTCTTTGGAATGCAAATACATTGCAAAAGGTTTCAATTGAATCTGGTCTAAGGGACCCATTGTCGTGCGTAGTTTGGTCGAAGCAGGATCAAATATTGGCAGTGGGAACGGCTCGCGGCAACTTGTCCATATACAATCACAAAAACGGGAAAAGAATTCCCGTCCTGGGAAAGCATTCGAAGCGAATTACCTGTGGTGCGTGGTCTGCACAGAATCTCCTAGCTCTAGGCTCTGATGATAAGACGTTCTCGTTGAGTAATGAGGAAGGAGATTCTGTTAGGGTCGTCCAATTGCGTGACGTGCCGAGTGATATGTATTTCGCAGAAATGGCTAATGATGACCGCATTAGCGGCGACAATGCCATTAGCATGATAATTGGCAAAAGGACACTTTATCTTTACTATTTACCCGAACCTGACTCACCCACCGAGTTGGGATTTCAAAGTCGTTATGGTTCATTGCTACAGCACAAATGGTTCGGTGATGGATACATTTTATTGGGGTTCTCAAATGGCCACGTTGTTGCGATATCAACACATCCCAAAGACATTGGGCAGGAATTGTGGCAGGTGAAGAATCACAAAGAATTATTAACGGGACTCGCTTACAGCCCAGCCTTAGAGATTGTTGCATCCTGTGGAGACGATAAGTATGAATAGGTGTTGTATAAATGACATTGCCTTGCTTTTTATCGCCGGAATATTTTCAGTATAAAAATACACTCGATCACGAACTTGCACGAAACTGAAAAGATTATAACGGTACCTGACCACTCCGGCGTGCAAATGATTGACTGGTCGGCAGATGGACAGCTTTTGGCCATAACTACAGTGACAGGTTCGGTATATATTTACGTGACAAAATTGCCCTGCAAATATGCGGTCTCAGCCCCGCGATTTGCAATTCTGAGCAGTCTGGCAGAGGTCTCAATTTATGTTTATTCACCCGAAAAGGTTTGTCGACCTAAATACATTACGCATTTAAAATATTAAATTGTTAATCCTTAGTCAAAATCAATTCCCTATCGACAAGCATTGGAAACAGAACCTCAGTTTTTAGCACTAGGCCCATATCACTTGGCCGTGGGCGTAGACAAACATGTGTGGTTTTACGATCTAGGCAAAACACTTGGAGACAAACCGGAACCCTTGAGTGAACGGGATTTCTCCCAACCTATTCAAGACATTCGACTCAATTCGAACTATTGTGCTGTTTATTGTCGGCCTCAGCTGGTCCTCCAGGCCATAGTGACCGACAACCCCAACGTGAAAGATAAAATAATGCAAACGTTTCCAGCAAATGTTCCCACACTCAATGATGCGGTAATAACATGTTATAGTTTGACACAAGAGTATTTGATATTTGCCACAGATGTGAGTATATAGAAAAGCGATAAGGTTAATGTATAATTGACTATATAATGCTTTTAACAGATTGGTCACCTCCTTTATTTTTCTTTGGAGAAATGGGAGGTGTGTACAACATTTCGACACAACATGGGAATTACTAAAATGTTCACAGACTCCGAGGGTACCAAGTTAATATTCATAGACGATCACGCTCAGGGCTATGTTTTCCTGCCGGCCCTTGAAGAATCAATCGTTATAGCCGATTTTCCAAAGAAATGCGAATTGTGTTTATGGGATTTGGCAAACCCGAATCACTTTATTACGTACAACGAGCGGAATGTCGATACTCATGTCTTTGTTCGCTATTCTGTGAACGGCAAACACACACTCAAAGCTGGTGAAACGAAACTAAATCCCTCGCAAATACCCTTGATGCTGTGTGATGGCGAAATGATATTGTACATCGACGGTGGACAATATGCAACACAAACCTTATCAACCCATTTAGTAATTCCGGGATCTAGTCAAGCAAGCGTCCTTAAGAATCAGTTGAGCCTACGGAAGTACAACGAAGCCTTCAACACTTGTGAGAAAATCAATTTGAAAGGAAGCTGGATGGAGATGGTCCAGCAAGCACTGACGGACCTGGAACCAAACATAGGTAGCTAATAGCAACTGAATTTATATATGCACTTGTTTATGTGGTGTTGTTTGCTTGTTCCTTAGCCTTAAGAGCCTGCCGTCGTGCTGGAGAAATTGGAATGGTAACGGTGTTGGAGGATATTCGCTACCTGGAGGACGTCAATTTACTTTGTGGCTTTTGTTGCATGTTGCTGCAAAAATACGAGGAGGCCAAAGGATTTTTGCTTAAGGGGTCATATACCAAAGATGCATTAGACATATGCAGGGACATGTTGCAGTGGGAACAAGCTTTATTGTTAGCTTATAAATACGAGCCTGATCAAGTGGCGTTTATCGCCAGGGAATATGCACAGCAATTAGAATTTAAGTACGACCGAATATTTTTGATCAGTCAACCGACTTTGTTTCGGATAATCATTTCTATCATTAAAATCTTTTAGTGGAAATTATACGGATGCTTTGTACAACTATGAAAAAGCATTCAAGGAAGATTTGTTTGATACTGGAGACAACCAACAGCTAGTTAACGCCTCGCCCGAGTACGAGGATCATGTTCGCTTGTGCAAAATGGGCATTGCTCGGACATCGATAAGAGCGGGCGATTTTCGTCGAGGAGTACGTATTAAACATACACAGACACCTAATATTTTGAAGCAATACATTGAATGACATACATATGTTGAAAATATTTTCAGATTCAGTATGCAGTGGAATTAAACGACAAGCAGCTTTTGTTCGACTGTGCCGAACTGTTGGCCACAGTGGGTCACATCACTGAAGCAGCCGCATTATATGAACGAGGCGGATACTATGATGAGGCATGTTCTCATTACATATCCCTAAAAATGTGGAACAAAATCGCCAACATTCTGCCAAATGTGAAGTCGACGAAATTGCATGCTCTATATGCCAAAGCCAAAGAATCGGATGGACAGTTTGAAGACGCCATCCGAAGTTATAGAATAGCAGGAGATTTAGAGGCATGTGTGCGCATATACCTGGACCATCTTTGCGACCCACATTCGGCCTCAGAAATTGTAATGGAATCCAGATCTATGGAAAGTGCCAAATTATTGGCAAAATTTTATCAAAAAATTGGGGATATAGATCAGGCTTTACAATTCTTAGTACTCTGTGGATGCGTGGAAGAGGCCTTTTCCCTTGCCCAAAGACACAATAAACTCAAGAGGCATGGTGAGCTCTTGGAGAGGTATGAAAATGCCAAGTCAGGTGATTATTTGGCGCTGGCTCAGTACTTTGAAGGGGAAAAGTACACACTGCTAGCTGGAAAGTACTACTTTCTGGCTCGCGAGTTTTCGAAAGCTCTTCGATTCCTCCTCAAAGCCTCTGCCTTTTCCAATGAGGAGTCTCAGGCGCTTTCTATGGCAATTGATTGCGTTGCAACCTCAAACAACGAACAATTGTCTGCTCAATTGATAGAATTCTTACTGGGCGAAGTCGATGGATCTCCGAAAGATCCAAGATATTTGTTCAGATTATACATGGCCAGGCGACACTACAAAGATGCTGCAAAAACTGCTATTATTATTGCCAATCAGGAGCAGCTCTCGGGCAATTACAAATTGGCACGAGATCTGCTGTACTCCATGTATCAGGAGTTAAGGCGCAACAATCTGTCTGTGACGGCCGAGATGAGGCATAATCTGATATTGCTACATCGCTATGCTTTGGTGCGTATTCATGTAAAATTGGGAAATCATCTTTTGGCGGCTAAACTTTTGGTTCAGGTTGCAGCCAATATATCACAGTTTCCGGAACGTGAGTATGGAAATGCATTTTTCTAAAACGTACATCACGCTCTGTTTCGATTTAGATGTTATTCCCATTATTACGTCAACTGTAATAGAATGCCATCGTTCTGGTCTGAAAAAGTCCGCATTCATGTACGCATCTATGTTAATGAGACCCGAGTATAGAAAAAACCTTGATCCTCGATATGCAAAGAAAATTGAATCGATAGTCCGTAAAGCTCCAAAGGGAATTAAGAATTTCCGCGACGAAATAGACGATGAAACTATGGAGTGTCCAGTCTGTGATGCCAACTTGCCTAACATGGAAGTGAATTGCTTTAGTTGTAAAACAATTCTTCCAATTTGTATAGCAACGGGCCAACACATAACTAAGCATCACATGACGTCATGTCCGTCCTGCGATTTCCCCTGCTTTAGAGCGGAAATGGAAAAGTATACAATGCGAATGTGATATATTTTCTTACTCTTTTCTCTAATTTTTCTTTAATTGCAGTATTTTGTCTGAGCTCAATGAATGCCCCATGTGCGGTGAAAATGTGGCCCCTGAAAAGCTCCTGGATGTGGAAGACATTCGCCCCTATATATTGCCCTCAACATAATCAAAATTCATGTATAATGCCGACATAAACATATTGTATAGTTCAATTATATAATCCTAATGTGTTGCCTAACAAGATTCTTATTTTCGATTAAAACCCAATAGTTCCATATAGTTGGAATCGCATATTTCGATTGTCTTTGCCGGTAATTGTGGTAAAATAATATTATATTCTACTGTAAATTGGAAAGATTTGAAAATAAACTATCCCGTATTTTACAGGATCTCGTAGCAGGGGAGAGGCTTTTTTCTCAAATACGTAAAATTACAGATCTCTAATTTTTTGAATGGTTTTTACACCCACTGGTACAAATACACTTTACGGACACGTCTCAGAACATTCTGAACTTTTGTACCATAGTGGGCCTTCTGCTACGGCCGTTAAAAGCATGTTTTCAAAATTTTGATACCACATACCTTTGAAGTTCTCATTAAAAAATATGTGGTTTTACTCAACATCAAAAGATAAACATTAAACATTTCAAACGTTTCGGAGTGGTATTCGAAGTATTATTGATTGTCGGTCTTGTATCATTTCGCATTTTTGATAATTTAAAACTTTAATTTTTTTATTTATACAGCTAAGGCCAAGGTGCATGGTATAATAATAGAAGGTAACAGCAAGTGTTCTTGTACAAAAAACAATACAACAACCACATGGAAATTTGTGTCAACTCATTTGACAGAAGAATGTAAACAAACAAACAAATTATCATCAAATTATTTTTATTTTGAAAATGAACTATTTTCGAATCCTCAAAATAAAAATTGAAAAACATGAATGAAAATCTATCAAATTTATGTTTCTATCGCTTCCACATCTTTCCTATAATTGAGCCATTGCCATATATATGTGTAACACATATGAAAATGCAGGGAATAGCGAGATGTTCCTTGAAGAAAGATTTGCTTCCTCAAACTTTCCCAGCAGGCAGATTGAGTAAGTTGAATACGGGAGCACATTTAATAAAGAACAATTACAAATTGTATGCTTTCCCAATTTTCCTGTTGGGTGATTTTTAAAAACATAATTTGTCAAATTCATATTGAGACTAGTATTACGTTGGAATCAAATCAGCTGGGACTTGCTGTTACCTTTTATAATTGTACCATGGCCAAGGTGTATTAAAAAGGTGTAAGTGATAATCATATGGTTTTAAACTTTTTTCTTTATTGTTTGTAAAGCAAATTGTCAAACTCACTTTCAACATTTAATTTTGATTTAAAAAATTGTATTTAAATTTAGTCTTTTTAATAATAAAAACGCAATAAACGCACCGGAGGAGGTTAAACACATAATTTTTACAATTTAAATAGTATATTGTGTTGAAAGACTTTGTTATACGCCTATGGACAGGTTGCATACGTGCAACTAAATTTCCTCGATTAGTTTTAGACCGGGGATTTATGCCGCCCCAACTTTTCTTTAAGGACGGTAGTTTTAAGACACTTATTCGAAAACAATATATTGTAATTTACAACATAAATAAGATCCCATGGAGCACATGTGAAAATTTTCAAAATTTTTCGCGACCGGGTCTTAAATTTTATCTTTTCACTGACCTAAAATCCCAAGAATATAAAAACTCACTCATTATTTCCCAAAGAATAGTTCTCCACAAAAATGAACAAAATAAAATGAATAATTGTTTTTGTTTATTTTTGTCAAAAACTGATTGCCAAAATGACAATTTAATTTCTATAACAACAATGTTTTTTTTTTTTTTTTGTAAAATATTTGTTGTTGTATCAGATGCATACACCTTATTAAATACACCTTGTGATAAACTAAGGAACAAAAAAGTTTTAATGACCGAATGGAAATTAAATAATATATATAAACTTTAAGAAAAAATTTACCTTTATTTATAATTTCTCTGTAGAGAGATTTTCTACACAATAATAAATCAAAGTACTAAATTACAGCTAATTCAGTCGAAAAATACGCTCAAAACACCCAAAATACTGAAAATTGGGGATACCTTTATATAGGGGCTCCCAGAAAAAGTGGACATATATTTATAATTTTTAGTGGAAAAATTTGGTACCTTACAAGAACCCTATGTACCAAATTTCAGCAAAATCTGCTAAAAAAAGCGCTCAAGAACCCCAAAATTGCAAAAACAGAAAAAAAATGCCAGAAACACTCAACCTTATTCCGTATGTCGTCGTCGTTGCCGACGACGTTTCTCTTTCGACATCACTTCGCATCTACATCGACATCACTTCGACACTGATTTGGTATTCTGTAATGCCATGTACAGACGAGCGTCGTTCCCTTTCTCATTCGTTGTTCGATCCTTAATTATGAAGTAATTACTTAGTTCCTCATACAAAATTTTCTGAGCGAACACCTACTTTTATGCGATGTTCAATTCGAATCACTCTCTGAATAACGAAGAAATTTGTCCCATCCCTAACAATTGAGAGTATTTATCGAAAATAAATTAATATTGACAGCTGGAAAATATTTATCATATTTTCAAACTTTTTCAGTCAAATTGAAAATGATGAATGAAAAGTAAAAAATTGTCTATGTAAATTGTATGCAGAAGGATCTAAATTTAGTTGTCTACATAATGTAATATGCATTTCTTTCCCTTTTGTTCTAATTAGCGTACAAAACAAGAAAGAAATGTGGGGTCACCCAAAAAAAATCTCAAATTTTTTATATGTGACATTTGAATTGAGAAAATATAAAAATGTATGAAAACATCAATATTTTCAGAAAAAATTGAAAACATGAATTAAAAGTTAATAGATATGGGTTCATACTATAGTCAGGAGAAAGAGAATTATTTTTTCTATTTAAATCAATATGTGATTCATGCAAATATGTTCCAATTTTGGTGTAAAACAAGTTTGAAAAAATAAACTCTGATGACATGAATTAAGAATAGTGTTGTATGAACGGGTTAATTCATGTACGTAATTCTGAGAGCGAACTACGTTGTTCGAATGCCCGTCAGAACATGGCATAACACTCATGCGACGATGTCGACTATTTATCGATAATATCAATAAAAACAAAAAACACATCTCTAAAAATGTGGTCAGTTGTTTATTTTGTTGCATATTTTTGGGCAAAAATGTGTTTGTATCCTTCACCGCACTGTGGCACAGAGCATTATGTCGTGGTAAATGTGTTTGTGTGCAATTGGGATGACATTTTAATCCCACATAGACCTATTGACATTGGTCAAAATCGGTTCAGATTTATATATAGATCCCATATATTTTTCTTTATTTACACTTTATTTTGCATTAAGTATTGAATAGATTCTAGAATGATGCATCCTGTTCTTGTCCGGTCATGTTTTTTTTTTTTTAATTTCTAAAAAAAATGTTCAAACGCTTCAGTCGTCAACAAAAACTATGACGAAGAAATCTTCGACATCGTCGTCGTCACATATTGTTACGGAATACCAAAAATGTTTCAATAGTTATCGATAAATGTCGACAACGACATAGGGAATACCAATTTGCAAAAGACGACTCTCTTCGACGTCGTTTCGTGTCGACGACGACATACAGAATAGGGGTGACTATTAGCTGAAATCAGGCACCGACGTGACATATTTACTAAGGTTCTTGATTCCCAGACAGTTTAGAGAACGTGTTTAAAAATTCGTGCGTATGTTCAACAAAAAAGTTGGCCAATCAAACGGTGGACAATGTTAAAAGTTTTGAATTTAAACATCGGGTCATTGCAACTGCAAAGGCAAGGACTATATCAAAATCAAAACTCTGTCGCAAAAACTTTGTTAAAAGGGAATTTGCGTTATATAGATGTGCAGTCAAATACTTAAAATCGATCGGGCCTTTATATTGGTGTTATGGCATGGTAAATTACTGCCAAAAGAAAATGAAATATCAAACCACAGGCTTTTGGAAATTTTGGCTAGGACCTTGTACATTCCGAAATCCTCAAATTGTCAAAAATTGACAGTACAGTTATATAGGGCTATACTAAATCGCGGACAGATATCGATAATTTTTTTGTAGGAAGATTCGACATCCAATGAGAACCCAGAATATCAAATTAGAACCAATTCGATTGAAAAACATACAAAAAATCCGAAAATACCGAATAATGGGGTAACGTAATATGAGGGCGTCTACGAAAATTGGGCCAATATTGATAATTTTTGGTGGGGAGATTTTTTACCCAATGAGAACCCCAAATATAAAATTACAGCCAATTCGTTTGAAAAACATGCACAAACCTTCCAAAATTTCGAATATTAGGGATAACGTTATATGGGGGATACCCTAAAAAGTGGACCAATATTGATAATTTTTTGTTGGAAGGTGTGCAAACAGTACTTAAATACCAAATTACAGTCAATTCGGCTGAAAATCGTGTCCAAAATCCTCAAAATAAAAAGTGGACTTAGTGCTTTTACATGATGTTAATCCAGCGACGTGTGTTGAATTGGACTTAGCGCGTTTACTCACCAATTCAAAACAACAATAAGAAATGAGATAATTAAATTTATATTATATTATTTATACATAACTGTATCAAAATCTCAAATTCTAGAAAAGTAGACTTGTGTCCTTTACAAGTTAAGCCAGCGATATTTCGTTTGACAAAAATGTTTCTTTCAACTGCCTGATTTTGTTGCTGCCATTAACCAGCACGTTTTCTTTCTCACATTCTTCGAGAAACCTTCAGGTGGTGATACCAAGAATTTATAAATGCATTTATGCAAGATCATTTGTAGTTAGGGTAGCACGATGTTAGAATTTATTGCCATATGATATAAGGATATTCTCCCATTGTATTAATGTGTTTAAAAGAAAGCTTCATTATATTTTGGTTTACAGTAACGAATGGTGGTTTTGATATTTATTATTCTTCTTTTTACTACTGGTTTAATCTCATCTCTTTTGTTATTACTTTTGTATTTTATGTAACATTAAAAAGTCCTTGTATTGCATAAATGAATAAATAAATGTTTAATTTTTATTGAGAACAATAATTGATTTTTTTAGAAAAATACTACTTCATTAAAAGCCTCAGTTAGATTGTGGAACGATTATATTAATTAGTAATGCGGAATATTAGCACATACTTATATCTACTTTAGATCAATGTCTGTGCAAAATGTCCAGGCTATTCCCCATCTCGTTGTATTGCCTTGGTGAAATTTTGTGGTACACCAATTTGACATGTTCCGCGATGATAAGGAACCTGTTATCTGATTTAGACTCGATTTAAGGCCCAACATTGAAGTAAAAATCCTAAATGCATATTTTTAAATTTAGGGAACTATTCAAAAAAGTTTATTACCTGAAATTGCATACCTGATATTGGTTTTGTACCTAATGCTTTCATCGATAATTTTTTCAACAAACTTTACTTCACCCCCCAAACAAGAAAGCTCTTCCTTGTAACCTGTCGGGCAATTGTGAGGCGGAGGTCTCTTTTTGGGATTGCGGGTATTGCAGGTCTCCGTTTGTTGCGAATCGAAAAAAGGAGGATTGCATAGGCAAAAATCATATGGACTATCCATGGATTCTCCGTATTTATCATGTGTTGTTTGGAAAAATTCCTCAAAGATTTGGTTACTTTGTTTCTGAGCAAATAGGGAAACCATCTCGGTCAGATTATTACGCTCAATATTACTTGCTGCATACTCCAAGTTGGATTTGTTCGTTTCGAGAGCAACCATCGGCCAACCGTTCTTCTTTGCGGCCAATAGCGAATAGATGCAAGATGAGCCGCAGCCTGTATTGGGGGAGTTGGGAGTGTACAAATATGATTGATTCATTGATCATCGGACGACTTCAACAAAATGTTCAAGAAGACTTATTATCCTACCTATGTCTATTCCTTTAACGGTGGAATTACAACTTCGGTCAGTTAATAGATCCTCCAGCCATAGAATATAGTTCAGTCTTAGTGGAAGTGTCGGTATAAGGCTTCCCGGTGCAAATTCAACATCTAGTTTGAAGTACTCTAACAGCAGAGTTTTTGTGAGTGCTCTTAATGCCTGCTCATTTTTGTAATCGATGTGCACTTTTCCGCACAATTCCTTGGATAGTCAAACGTCTTGTTTTGAGTAGAAACCGTTTAAATTTTTTTGAACTTACCAACTTGCAGACGCGTCGAAAATCAGGATACTTAATTGCCAGTTCGGTGAAGTCTGGAGGTGTGTTGAATATATTTCGGGGATGCATTGCCCTTCGGATGTTGCTCGTCATTTCTGGCGTTTCTTAGTCTTGAATATTCACTGCATTTCACTTTTCTATGGCAAAAACGATGTTAAATATTAACATTATTATTTCGTATTTCAGTATTCATCTATTAATAACACTATTATATTTTTTATATTTTTATTTTTCCAAACCACGCGCAAATGAATTGGCTGACTTTATTTATTTTTAATTCCAATTGGAGCGTACCGTTGGTTTTAATTGCAATGCCGCTTCTTAAAGTTTTGACGGCGTTACGAAATTGGACGAAATAGCTTTAAAACGTAACTGATAAAACCAGAATCAAAACAAACAAAGATTAGTATTAGTGTATTATATCAAAATCAAAACAAATGAAGCGATTAGGCTGTTCATTCACCGACTGAAGAAAAATTGGAAAAGCTTCCACCAGCTAACGAATGTGAGGAGAACACAAAATGGCCGATATAGTCCCCTTTTCCACAGGAAAATTTTTATTGGCGGACTTTAAATTTTTTCCAATTGGAATATATGGAATATATTTTTATTATTTTTAAATTATTTTTTACTACGATAACGAATTTTCCCTTATGATATCGTAGAAAATAGTAATATCGGGTAGATCTTTGCAATACGGGAACAGACCATTAAATGAAAATCATCTGAAAGTGACAAAATCATTTCAGCCGCTCGGTGCATATATTGTGTAACTTCATATACTAAAAGTAGGGAAATTACATGATATAAAATTGCCTTAATATTATAATTAAATTAATTAATTAATCTATATGCATCGAGCGACTTTAATTTAATATTTAATGAGAACAGTTGCAACTTTTTTATGGCACAAAGACAGAATCGGTATAGCATAAGTGTTTTGTGTTTTAGCTGGAATTGTGATTTATATTTGTATGGTAAATGACTCAACAGCCTAAATCCTGATTTTTCTATTGCATGTAAATGTGCATTTGGAATGTAATTCATTACAAATTAAATGGAAAATCGATTTTGAGCAGGTTGGACAAAATCGAAAGATCGAAAGTCAACTTTTTATTTTTAGTTACAGTCAAAAACCGAAAAGTCAACTTTTTGGTCAGACCAACGGGGCCTAGGTTATGATATATCGATAAAATCCTTCAGACAAATCCAAAAGATTGAGAAAAACAAGTATATATATATATACATCACCGTTAAGGGATAAGCAGAATGCTCGCGTTGAGCCATCCTTCGCGTTATATGTTATCGAAAATACAACAACCGCAAGGAAACGATAAGCGTTTGTGTTATCGTTTCCTTGTGGTTGTTGTATTTTCGATAACATATAACGCGACGGAAGGCTCAACGCGAGCATTCTGCTTAGCGTGGTTTTATATTTGTCGGGATCGGTGTTGAGAGTTTCTCTCTCTTGAGAGAGTAATTAGAGTTGCGTTATTTTTAATTTTGTAACAAGCGTACTTTTTGTTCACAAAAGGTACGAATTGACATAAACGTACCAAAACAAAAATTAGATTTTTTATTATTCGTGAACACATTTACGCTTCAATTATAACATATATTATTTATGTAAATAACTGGTACAAATATTGACCAATATTTCTCGATAATAATGATTTATTACCATTTGAAGTATAATTTTAGGTACCTTTTTGTACTTTTTTGTTCCTACCTGTGGCAATGTTTTCCAACACAATTCAAAATTTACCACTGAGAGAGAGAGAAACTCTCAACACCGATCCCGATCCCGACAAATATAAAACCACGCTTAGCCCTTTATTTCCAATTATTGATTTGTTCCCGTACTGCAAGAATCTACTAGATGTTACTATTTTCTTCGATAACATAAAGGAACATTTGTTATCGTAGATTCTTGCAGTACGATGTTTTGTCGATTAATTTATCCCTATTACCCTTTGGCATATTTTGTTTTTGTTCTGAATTTTATCACCTTCTGACACTCTTCCTTTCTTCGAAACTGTTAGAAAGAGACGGTTAGTGTTGTCATCTACGTTTTGACAGATCTAGTGGGACGTCGACGACGTTGTGTGGTACTTTTGATATTTTTATTCCTTTCCACCGAAAAATAATAAAATATTGCAAAATAGTAAAAAAAAACACGAAAAAGTTGTAATACTTAATTTTCGATAGTGCCTTGTGAAAGACGGCAAGATCTGAATAAATTCTTGATTGTTTTCTGTGGTATAATCAACGTAATAAATTGCGGAACCCACACATTACCATCAAACAGAATAGAGAATGAAATTATGAGAAGATGTGTGTGTATGTGTGCTTCTGTGGAGTGTGTTAGTTTTGATATTGTTTCGTGAAAATCTCAAATCAAATGTAAATACTGCGTCGATTGTGTATATAGAGTATTGTGTCCATGGTGCGTGACCACAGCGAGGAGGAAATGTACGCGCCAATAAAGGTAAACATTCTAAGGCAGACATACCGACTCGTCACATAAACAACAATCAAATTTCAAACGAGCCCCCGAGTCAGCATTGAGAAGAATGAGGTGAGTCCTCTTTTATTTGTTCAGCATACATCCGACATCCGCCTCTATATGTGTTCTACAGTAAGTAATTTTTTTTGCTGGAGATGTAACCACTATGCATACAATGGATACACACCTACTAAATGTCTGCCGAATGTTGTTTTATATCGCGCGGAAGCGATGCTTTTGAACCATTGCTCTTGAACTAATATGACGTAGCGAGTCTCCTTGTTACCTATAGGGAAAATTTGTCAAAGCACAGTTTTCGGTTTTGGGATATGTCGTAAGTAAATCGGTTCGATATGATTTGAAAACAAATAAACATATTTAAACATTTATGCCACTAACATTTATTAATAATTGGAGTCATAGTAAAACAACATGATATACCTATATCTTAGATTAACCCACGATTCGTTTGGAATCTTAGAAGCGTGTTATAGTCTTATACTTTTCAACATATATGAATATATATGTTTTCATCGTCCTTTTCTACCTTATAAATAAATTCCGTATAAATTGTAAATGATGAAGACCTATCGGATTCGTATGAATTCATTAAAATGAACGAAAAGAACAAACAATTGATGGATATACAAGGGCATAATGTTCTACAACCATATTTATCGTTCATATCAAAAATAATCTGTATTACTTGCAAGCAAAAAATGTCCACATCATAGCATTAGTGCATGTGTTTTCTGGTTTTGAAATTCTTGTCTAATTGGGATTTTTCCAGGTAGTGTGTATGCATTTGTTTTTGCTTGGGACAACTTCAATACTCAAAATAATCCTAAAACGATGTGTGAAGCATGATTGTTGTTTTGTTACGTTTTATTGTCGGCAGTTGTAGCGCTTTTGTTGGTGTTAAGTACGGTTTAGGGCTCAAAGGGAATAGGTTAGGTATGCCCAAAAACCAGCTCCAGTGTTCTGTTGTTCGCAGTTCGTATATTCAAGCTCGTTGACCATTAATCTTGATTTCATTTTATATGTATGTAGTTTTCACACCTTTATACTGTGAGCGTGTGCGAATTTTTTCCGATCTTATGTATTTTGTGTTTACGCTTGTCTCAATCGAACAAGGGCATTTGATGACAAATAATTTTGGAATATGCCATAAATTGTTGTTTTGTGATTCTGGAATATTATGTCGAGAGATAATCTAAGTGTATTTGCTAGGTTGCAAATTGTCTCTGTTTTCGTCCATATCGGGCATAGAGTGTTTTGAAGGGAAGGGCGCCCCTTAAATCAATATTGGTTCATTCCTACAAAGCAAATATGCAGATAATTTTACTTATATCAATTTTGGCTTTTAATCCAAACATGCAATGTAAAGTAACATTGTTCGGTACTTCCGAGTTTTTGTGTGGATGATATCGCAGTAGTTTCATTTATTTTGGGCAACACTGTTGATACAAATTATTTTAGTATTTTTGTTTTTATCGCTGACATGCTGGCATTCAGTCCAAATAATTACCTTAATGGTAAGTTTAAAGAACAAACGTTCATAAAGAAAATAAGAATCACAACTAATATCGAGCATAGTTATTGTAAATGAGCAAACTGTCTCACAAAGCTGTGGTCATGGTCAAAGCTAAAAAGAGGCTTCTGGGCGAAATAGAAAGCGTGCTACTAAATCGACTGCATTATTAAGAATAACTTTAGTTTGAATTCAAAGCAGACGTGAAATTCACACACAATTCGAGCGACGATGTGTGTGTATGGCCTTTGAGAAGCCTTTCCAACAATTAATATTTGGGTGTAAACACATATGCATGCATTTCATATCTTTAAGGTCCATCATCTGATCTGTGGGCTTTATATAAAATAAACACATTGACATCTTTAATGTACAAACTCATTTCATTCCTGATTGAAATAAACGTTTAAGCATGTTTATCTTTTAGGTGAATATGACAAAGTTTACAACGGTCTTAACAATTGTACGAAACCAGGTGTCACAAGTAAATGCTTAAGGGAAATTAGCACAGTGATGCCCCGTCTCGTATTAACCACAGACAAAATTGTTCCGGACAATGATTGAGTTATACTTTAGAGCGGAAAAGTGAAACAAAACTTAAGTTGAAAGACAACGGCAGGTGCGCGAAGAAAATTATACTAGGACGCATAATGTCACAATGCAGTAATGATGAATTGCAAATGCAACGGAAGTACAAACAGCGACAGCAGCAGCTTTTCCAGTCTTACAAACACTGCAAACGGCGAAGAAAAAAACATTTACTCACTTCCATAAACACATATATCACATATCGACCGATTATTTGGACCTTAGATGATAGATTTTTATGGTATAAAAAGGCTGGCACACTACCAACGACGATGTTAAATCGATCTATGTTATATTGCCAAAATATTCCTCTACTCGTGCTGGCATTGGTTATGACCATGATTTGTTTTCCAACAAATATTATACCTACGGAGGCAGCTACTGTTGGAGGCAGCAGTATTTCTCTTTCGTCGATATTGAGTGCCGGTCCAAGTCCTGTTCTGTCATCGCCGTCTGCGACTTTTACGTCGACACAGCAGCGTCAAATGCAACAACAACATCTGTTTGCTCTTCTAAAGTTGGATAATATGTCGAAAACGGGTCACATAGGGGATCCTGCGTCTGTATTGTCCAATGACCTCTTTGGCGCTGCCGATCTTCATCATAGTAATGACGAAAGAAAGGCAAATGAAAATGACGATGAAAACGAGAATAAGTCTGAAAATTTGACCCTAAAGCGTGCTGCTACTACTACCCTATTGGAAACTGCAGGCTACGTGTCCGATGATGGCCTACAATATGAGAAGGCTCTGGCAGCGGTTGTCTCAAATGCACCGAATGCTCACCAGTCGTCTCTGGATAACAACAATATAGATTGTCCAAAAGAATGTAAATGCCTTAATGACTACTTTGACTGTGGAAAAAAACTTTTAGACCATGTCCCGCCATTTCCAAACTATGTACAAGTCATGTAAGAATATTTTTTGAGTGGTAATTACTGGGGAACTAAATTCTTCTTTTTTGCAGTGACCTTCTTGGGAATAAACTTAATGACACGACGGTATTGCAAATACACAATCTTCCGGATCTTAATAAACTGTAAGTAGCTTAACTTGTCATATTATTCATCGGCGTAATTTGTGTTTATCCTTTAAGAGTTTTAAAGCGGAACCAACTGGAGAAAATACCAGTGTTTGTTGGCCTCACGTCACTGAAGCAGCTAAGTCTGGCGCACAACCGTATACAAAGGATTTCTTCTGAGGCACTTGCTGCTTTGCCGAAATTGAAGTCATTGGATTTATCGAAAAACTACCTGCATGCAATTGAATCGGATTATTTTCCGAACACAAACCGTCTGGTCCACTTGTAAATTATTTCTCGATCAATATTTGTGGGAGTGGTTTTATGATTAATATGCATGTGAATCTCTTTTGCAGAATACTAAATGGAAATGAAATTTCGGGCATTGCGGAAAATGCATTTGAAAATCTATCATATCTGCAGGATATTGAATTGAATAACAACCACTTGACTACGCTGCCCGGAGGCGTATTTAAGAACATGGGTAAATTGCGTAAACTGTAAGTACCGATTGAGTGGGGGTTCGTCTTCATTGGCCCAATGCACGACTATAATCCATCTTATTGTAGGTCCTTGAATTATAACCAGCTGGAAATTAATTGGTCCACTTTTCGAGGCTTGACCTCGTTGCAGAAGCTATTCCTGAAGTCGAATAATATTCGTATACTCCAGGATGGTGTGTTCCACGTCATGCAATCAATCGAAACTATAGAACTGGATCACAATGGCATTAGCTCTCTAAGCCGCCAAGGCTTGTTCAATTTGACGAAGTTGCGTTATTTAAGTCTGTCAAATAATTCAATATCTCGTATTGAAGTGGACACCTGGGAGTTCACTCAGTCGCTAACCAGTCTAGATCTCTCCCATAACAATATAAGTGATTTCAAGCCACAACACTTGGATTGCCTGCAGCGCCTGAAATATCTAAACTTGGCCCATAACAAGATACATTATTTAATGGAGAATACTTTCGACTGTGTTAAAAATTTAGAAGACTTGAATTTGCGCCGAAACAGATTATCGTGGATAATTGAGGACCCTGGGGCAGGGCCGCCATTCAAGTCATTGCGTAAACTGAAGAAATTGGATTTGTACGGCAATAATTTGAAGCAAATCAATAGCAAGTCATTGAGTGGCCTTTCAAGTTTAGAGTCCCTGAATCTGGGAGGAAATGCCTTAGCTTCAATACAAACGTCAGCTTTCGATCACTTGAGTCATCTGCAGAAGCTCACTTTCAAATCGCTAAATTTTATTTGTGATTGTGAAATTTTGGGATTTAAACGTTGGCTTACGAAACATTTACTATCAACCGGCCAACAGTCGCCGGTACATCCTTCTCAAGCGGTGTGTGGCTACCCCGAACATCTACTTGATCGGGAATTACTATCGCTGCAACAGAACGAACTAATATGTGGTAAGAAATGCCAAATTATGCAATTGAAACATGTCAATAACTAATATTTGAACCTAGACGAAACTCCGAAACCAAAATTGTCCCACGAGCCTTCCAATCAGTTAGCCGTTAAAGGAGCTAATATTACAATGGAATGTCGAGCTACCTCTCCAAGAGCAGCATCTATTTCGGCGACAGATGAATTGAAAATTAAATGGCGGCACGATAATCGCAATATAAAGGAAAAAGACCGTAGCTCAACCTTCGTCAGTTCTTCGCAAAGTGGTTCATCGTACGCAACAACGGACACGCAGATTTACAATGACCCGTCTAACAACCACACCACAATTATTGGCTACTTGCGTTTGTTTAATGTCAGCTATGAACTGGCTGGGAAGTACCAGTGTGTCGTATCGAATGCGTTTGGAACGACGTATTCACAGAAATTTAAAATTTCTATTGGAAGTATGTAACTCACCCCGACTCTGAGTCAATAATGGACATTACTTTACATATCCTTCTTTGCAGTTCATCCTTCTTTTCTGCAAATTCCATCTAATCTAACAATTGATTCCGGTGACACTGCCAGATTGGTTTGTTCTGCAACTGGTGACCCCACGCCTGTAATTGCATTGCAAAAATTTGGAGCAAGTGATTTCCCAGCCGCAACAGAGCGCCGTTTACAAGTATTGAGGGAGGAAAATGCATTTGTTATTACGAATGCGAAGCCCATCGATAGTGGAATTTACACTTGCACTGCAGAAAGTCCAGCAGGCGAAATCAAAGTAAATGCAACCTTGATAGTAAATGGTGAGTCTTTAATGGAAATATATAATATAGATCAGACATAAACGAGATGGGATCTACCAACGGACAACATATTTAGATAAATATATTGTGATCGTTAACCAATGTTTTGTTATATTTTTTAGACAAACCGCAACCTCATATACCTGTAGTAATTAAGGAAATAGCTGTAGGTAAGTCTAGCGTCCTTGAGTGCCTTAGCGAATTCGCCTTCGAACTAAATCAACCTCGCCGTGAATGGTACAAGGACAATAAGCCCTTCCATATAACACCTACATTCGACTCAGAGCGGTATTATTTTACAACTGAAAAGGAGCTTTTGATCATCGTTAATACACAGTCAGCTGACTCCGGACATTACCGCTGTGAAATTACGGACAACTCAAAAACATACACAATGCAAATGGACCTAATAGTGGTCAAGGAATACTTTAGTCAACGTGTTATTATCGTCGGGGTGGTATTGGTGACGCTGACTTGTATAGTGGTTGGCTCCCTCGTAGTTTGGATCGTATTATTTTACCAAAAGAGGAAACTGTGTAGGCATTCTGGGCAACATAATGGTCCCGGCAGTGGGTCCCGGGTTGCTGCTGCCCAAGACTCGATTCTGGACCAAACGCAAATGACAACACTCAATCGAACATACATTAGATCGAATAGAGACCCATGTCACCAGCGGCCAAGAAGTTTGGCCACTTTAGAGTTGAACTCTGGTCGTTATCTCGCCGATGCCGACGACGATGTCAATGCAGCAACGGCCGAGCAACGAAGTTGTTTGATCGTCAGCGCCACTCCCAATTACAATCAACTGCTTATGCAACATAACATTCGGGATAGTCGCAACGTTCAAAAAAGTCTTAGAGATGATGACGAAGATCTAACTTTGGAATACTTAGGCTTAAATACGTCACATGACACAGACCCCCAACAGGATCACTTGTCCAGCAAGGACTCAGGTACAGGTTCTGATGCAGCCAATAAGCGCAGTTTGGATGATTTTTCTGTTTCTTTAATATCGGCCCACGCGTCTACTCCTACAGCTACTGTTTCGACAATGAAGCCACATCCAAATATGTCCCCTGCTAAAGCGGAAGACGGTGAAGATAATGGTTACAATGCAGAGACAAAGGTGATTGCCCATGAAGACAGCGACGATTTAGTCGCTTCACCGACATTGGGCATTTCATTGTATACTATAGAAGCTAACATTACGCCGCTCAACAACAATGGCTCGCCTATCAGCAAAGGATGCTTGAAAACTTCCAGCGATAACATTAATGAAAGTGGCTCTCCGAATTTACAGACTTCTTTACTTTGCGACAACAATGCAGGAAATTGCCCGAAGCCGGTAGCAAGTTCCCCTCAATGTCATGCGGAAACGCAAATGGTGGACATTTAAATTGCCTGTATTTCCCATAGCATAAAACCAAGGGGGATTGATTGAATCCTGAAACCAAAAAAGACTGTTGTGCAAAAAAGTAATTTATCGTTTCGCCACATATTAGTTGTAAGTTTACCTTGCCCTCGCAGTGGAAAAGAACCGCGCAGCTATTAACTAAAACTAGTGTAAATGGCAACTGTACTCGTCTGGCAACTTTCTCATGCAACTCTCCCAAGTCATCCTGTGTGTATAAATATTTGTGATATTATTAATTTTAAGTCTTGTCCGTGCGTGTGTTATTTCGAATAATTTCATTCGACGAAAATGTAAATACCACACTTGCACTGAACCAAGAATGTGTTTTAGCAAAATAGCATTAATCGGAATAAACGAAACGTTGATCCAATGGGTCAACAGCTAAATTTATTTTTGATTAGACTCCAGTATTCCGCATCGTTTTACTTTACTTGTATTATGTCAAGCAATCGTAGGCATATTAATGCTTATGTATCGATTTTATATATTCTACATAGCTTAGCCATAAATAGTGTGTATCATATACGGGAAATATTCAGTACAGACAACTAATATTATTTAAAACCATGTTCGAATCCATTCGGTATTACCGTACATTTAAGAATGCATTTGTTGGTTCAGTGCATTTGCGAAATATTTCCAACAGTCATATTAAGCTATCGCCCTTTCGTACATATTGTAAATTTCTTCTCGTTGTCAACGATGTCGGGCACGTGGAAAGGTATCAATGAAATACAAATAGAAATCGATCGAACAAACCAAAGAACTATAACGAACGGAACCCCATTATAGATGTCCTGTACTGAAGACTTACGCGTGTGCCTGTTCCAAACTGAAAATCCTGCCTTAAGCATACACTTCTAAAGTATAATATTTGATATTGCCCATTGTGGGAACACAATTGTGCAAATAGATGAGATTCCCACGTGAAGTATATCACTTCCAAAGTATATATAAATATGTATATTCAGAAACTTGCCTTCTAGAATAACGATTAGCAGATAATTCCTTATTTATGAAAAGCAAATGATATTATCATTATTATTTATATTTGTATGTATATTAATTACGACACTACGGAAGATAGTTGTAGTAATCGGCATATCTTTAGAAAATGTTTTTTTATTAAGACGTCTATTTTACAATTTGTAATGTAATTTAATTGAACTGTAAAAATTGTAATAAAAACCAATTATATTTATAGTAAAAACAAAAAACAGTCTAATTTTATTTGACCCCATAAAGGTAGTATGAGTTAATCTATGTTGGTCGCTTTGGGTTGTTGTTCGTGATTTTCCTACTAGTTTCGGCTTTTGCTGAATACTTACATTACCGATGTTTTGGACTGTCTTCATTGATTTGCCATATAATTTTATTTGTGAATAAACCTATCATTTTTTATTTATTTATTATTATTATTGATGGCAATAGTTGCCACCGATGAAAGAAGATACACTCATACAATCATATAAATTTAGATTAGATCTATAGCAAAGGTTTTTGTGTATGTATATTGTAATAATAAGACATGAGGGATTAGAAGTTTTTCAAACTATGTTCGAAAACCAATGTGTTAATATTTGTTGTTGTTGTTTTTGTTTTTTAATTTAAATGTTTACACAGCTTGCATGTAATTTATATATTTATGTGTTACAGTGTGTATATATGTAGGTAGAGGATATATATGCGTATTAATTTATATTTAATATTCTATGCTTAGTCGTAATTACGGTGAGAAAAAGATGTGTAGAATATTAACATAAAGGGGACAACTTAGAGGGGCGAAAGAAAGTATCTAAAAATAACAAATGTGTTGTGTGTATAAGTTTATAGTTTTCCGATAATGGAGAGGATTAATAAATCTATCATACGTTGGTTTAGGCCAATTCTATTGGCAGGTGGATCTATCAAAAATAATTCTTTTCATATTCATATTTAAAATTAGTTCCGCTTGGGCGTTAGGTGTTCCCTTCTATGCATATGCCTAGTTTTGTGTCTCGGTACATGTATTTGTGGGAGTTATTTCTGACACATTCTCTTGTTTATCTTCTTCGACATTTACATGGCCTGTGGTTGGCGTGGGTGTCGGTGTTCTGGACGAGGGAATGTCCGTTTCAATATCGAGCAAATCAGCACCTGTTGTTACATCTATAGGAGTTTCCTAAAATAAATATTGAAATTTATGTGGGTGGTCAGTCAAAACCAGTTCGAACGTCGTTAACCGATAAAGAAGCAAAAACTGCAGGTGATGTTTACATTTGAGCCCTTATTAGCGATAAAGGGTTGAAAATAAACATATTCTTACCAGTTTTGATTCAACTCTCTGTCGCTCATGCATTGCATTAAGTAGTTCGCGCAAATGTTGATTTTCCTTTCGTAGGCGTTCACGTTCCATGTCACGCTCATTAATTTTGGGCTAAAAGAAAAATAACTGTATTGTTAGGGTGTGCTCTGATCGAATTCGTGTCCGTAGCACTTACCAATAACAGAGAAATTTGAGCGTTAAGAGAACTAACTATACTGCTTAGAGCATAACAAGGTACACTTGGTTCCAGAGAGTTTGCATGTTGAATTCGGTTTGGTCCACATAATGTTTGGGGATGGCCATTGACACTGCTGACGGTGGCTGCCGAAGTATCGATTTTAGGAGAATTTGTGCTGCTGGTGCCTGGAGCTAAAGCAATCGCTTGTGTTAAGGTCATGGTTTGTGTGGAGCAATCGACTCTAGAAGGCGGCGAGTTGTCAGTTGATGTGTTTATAATGGGCTAGAGGAGAAGAACATACACAGTCAATAAATATAAAACGCAATAAATATAAAAGCAAACTTGCCATCACATGTTCGTAGGCTTCATTTATTTCGATGTGCTCACTATTCAGGGATATGTCATCTGCCTGGGTAGCATTGCTATTTTGCCTTTGGGGTTCAGCGCTCATGGACGGTTGCAGTTGCTCTGGTTCCGTGGCGACGTCCTTTATATTACTTTCGGAGAGTTTTGTTAGATTTTCAAACGCAGATATACTTTCGCATTCGGCTGTATGCATGGCCGAATCGTCATCCTTATCTTCTTCATCGTCTATCGTAGCCAGGGGGGCATTGGCATCGATATTAGTTAGGAGCGCGTTTACGTCATGTGCGCTGTCGTCGTCTTCTACTGAGGCATGTTCTTCTGCTTGGACGTCGGCATTTGTTTCATCTCCAACATGGGGCTGGTTCTTTTCATTGCGGTCGGTTTTTTTGTTCTCATGTCGATCTTTCAGCGCGAGTGTCACATCATCCGCAGACTCCTCAGGAATGCTGTCAGCACTTACTGTACTTTGACGTTTCTTTAACTCTGGAGAAATAACTGTAGAAGACTGAGCAGAAGCCGTTGCTTCCATCTTTGTCGCTACTGCACACTTTGATGGTGGTGGAGGCGGAGGCGGGGGTGGGGCCTTAAAGCTACCAGCTGGTGGTGGTAACGGAGGCGGAGGCGATCCCTTTTTAGCTCCAGTACTCTTTGCTATAGGTGTGGTTGATGGTTGTGACGTTACTCCGGTTGTTGTCTTTGAGGTTAAAGGAGGTAAGGCCGGCAAACGCAACTCATCTATTTCACAATATCCATCGTCATCTTCGTGTATGTTGGTCTCTTCCAAGGCACACATTTGAATTTTCGTAACCTGTGGCGCCGGTGTTTGCTGTTGTGCCTGGGCCATTTGTTTGTTGGGTGGTGGCAATGGCGGGGGCACATCCGAACTGGGAACCGTTTTATTCGAGCATGGATGTCGTGGTCGATTTGGCTGTTGTCTTTCGTGACATTTATCACAGACCGCAGTCGATACTGCGGATACTTCTTGCTCGGGTGTCACCTTCATGTACTCATTCAACACCTCCGTCAGTGATTGTACTTGAGCGTAAGCGGCCAATGCAATGTCGGTGCTGTCCTTTGGCGCTTCTGGCATGGCGGCGATGTCCACAATCTCATGGAAATGTTCGACAGGTATGCGGAACATGTCGCATATTATTTTCTGTTTTTCTAGCAAACCATCTCGTATACTAGCATCCAAACGTCTGAGCTTTTCGGCCGATGTTAGGACAGGCTCCGCTGTATGAGCTGGACTTATACTGATTTGTATTGCAGTAGGCTCCACCAGGGGCGGTGATGATTGCATTAGTGTACGGGTGTTATTGGAATTGTTGGAATAAACAATACTGGCACTGTCTCTCTTATTGCCCGAAGGTAACACAGCACTGTCATCTGGCGCACCGTTGGCCTGCCTTGCTGATTGTGTGTGGCGCAATGTGACACCATTAGCTCCCGGCATATCCGCAGTATTGCTGTAATTATGATTGGCATCGCCGCAGCTACGGGTCGACATTGTACGATTGACCGCGTTATTATTGGTGGACAGTTCATTGTGACTCAACCTCTGCTTTATATTATAATAGGGGGGATATGAGTCGCTCGCCGTTGTGCTTGTTCCTCCCGGAGTACTTTCGCGTCGCCCATTTCGCAACTGGACATCGTTATGCTGGCCGGCAATTGTCACTCGGTCACTACCAGATCCCGGAACTGGCATCATCGGCGCCAAAGGAGTAGTTACAACAGTTGCTGTTGCCGAAAGCGGTGGCGGTCGTTCGGGCGTAAGTTCAAGGGATTCACGGGTATTGGAATGCGGTAATGTAGCAATGGCGGGGTCATCAACAGGTTCATGGTTAGCATTCTTTGAACGTGGCTTATACTGTTCCGCGGCGTCAGATATATGCTTGAACCATCTGTGGAAAAGAGAACGAAATCCATGAATTCGTATAGCTGCAGCATATCCAATACTTAATACAAACATCTAACTCACTCTCTTCCTTTCTTCAGTTTTGTCTTTTTAATATCATATGCCCAATCTTCTTATCTGTCATTGACACATAACATTACTTTATAGTAGAGTCGACTTGTGTCGCTCAATACTGTTACAACTGACTTCCCATACTTAGTAGTAAGAACCCCATAACCCACAAATAATTCGTTAAGTTAACATTAAATTTTGTCAGCTCAATCTTCTTAAATTTACCTTGAAACCAGAGAAGCCCTCCGGCCGCTATGCTCCTTCGTACTCTCAATAACTGGTATTGGCTCATTAAAACTTCCTCGCCGTCGTTCTTTTTTGTTTTTTGTAGAGTTCGAGCCATTGCTCCCTTCATTGTGTTTGGTAGTGAGATTCAGAAGGGAACCATTACAGAGACTCTTGCGACGCACACCACTAAATATGTCATCCGGAGACAGAAAGTTCATCGCATATATGACTTTAATACTTTAGATAATTTTAATGCTGAATATGATATATGAGTTCATCACGACTACAATATAGTTGTACGTTTTTCAGCTTTGATCTTCCATTATTCACTAAATTTTATAAACGCCCTATCCTATGCATAACATTACAATCAAGTGATCTGTACGACCAGCAGTGATGTCAAATCAGTTTAGTTTTTATAGGAACTGGACTGAACTAACATTCTGTTTGTGATTGAGGAATACACTAATTAACATATTATCAACAATCCTTTAAGAAAATTATCTTTTTTTCATAAATAAACAAATCAGCTTCGTCCAATACAATACTGCAATAACGGTAAGATGTCAACATGGTGATACCCTAGGCGAGTCTCGAAACTAGGGGGCATCCACCAACTCAGATTATCTGAGAAACTGTGAATGACTTCGTACAATTGGAGATGACGATATTGATACACAGGCATATAGGGTGTCAGGAACGGTCAATGCTTTCTTAGCACTGTCAATGCCAAAATAACGTGCTAATATCTGATGTTTTTCTGCAATGGTGCTAATGGGGCATTTGTCCGGATTTTGGTGGAGTGCTTACGTTAGCAGAAATTGTATTTTGTTTATATATAGCATTGTCTCGCTTATAACGGTTATGGTCGACCAATTTCGTAAGTCCCTTGACCGTCGTTATATGCGATTTCGACTTTATTAATTGCATGCCAATATTCAAAGAGCACGTATATTGTCTACGTCTAATGAGTTTAGAGGTTGCTTATGTTATTTATTATTTTTTTTTTTGTCTTGAATGCAAGTGTCGTATATCCACTTACATCATTAAAGTATACACTGTATCATTGCATTAACAAATATTCTCATGTTACAATGCATTGCGCTCATCAAGCGATGAAAATCCCTCCGCGCTTCTCTGATCTATTTAAACATTATGCTACACATGTTACGCTTCAAATACTGCAATCATCATTGCGAAATACCTTTCGTTTTTGCGGTTTGTAGGCAACTTGTAGTGCAATTGTACGAGTGTTTAAATCATTTTAGTTGTAGATGACGTAGCATCCGAATAATTTAATTGCAACGTAAATAATCAAAGCTTATGGTGGCGTTGGATTTAAGTGTTAAGATTATGCCAATGTCCGCCAGGAATACAGACATAAAACTGTGCCATCTTCTTCTTTCAATGCACAGTGACTTAGCAAACAAAGTCCTTATAAGCGAACTATGGGTCAATAATTAAATATTTTCGGTCCAATTCTGAATGTATTATTTGGTATGGTTTCCTTGTTTGGCATGCAAACATTTAATTGTCCAACTGTATGTGCATCTTCAAGCGGCAGACACTTCGTAAACTTTCCCCAACTCTAACCGCATCATCATGATCAATTTCTTTGGTATTGTTTCCTTGTCAGTTGCCATACGACATAGTTCATAGCAAACAATGAAACAGATTATAAGACCCTTATTAAAGCACAGCAAAATGCTCTCGAAAGTTATTATAAAACGCAACAAGTTGTTGCATGTCGAACCACAACAATTGTCAATGGTATTCTTGTAATACAGTTGAAGCTCGTTAAAATTGCCTATATGTATATACATATTTATGCACACAAGCAAAGGTTCTTGTTTATTAGTTATGTCCGTGATTGATTACATCGAGTTAATGTGACTAATTCTATAGGTACAAATATAAAGCTGATAACTATCTCTAAGAGAATAAACCCTTTTTTGCACCTGCATAACTTTTCGTCTATTCACTTGGTATTCTCTGTAACTGTAATATCTATATATATGTACTAATCAGTGCACTTCCATTTCAGATATATGTGCACAAAATCAAACAAACGCAAGCACTCTGTGTGTCTATGTACATGTGTAGAGATGGGCAGTGGGTAAATACCCAAAGGGTAAATACCCGGTAAATTGGGTAAATACCCATTTGTGGGTATTTATTTGGGTTTCTGTTATCAAATTGATTTGGTTGTATAGTTTTACGATACTTTAAAGACGTGGGTAAATACTTGGGTAAATACCCGAGTTTTTACCCAAAAATTGGGTATAAACTCATTAACTGCCGAACCACTTGACATAGGCAGCCAAAATTTTGCATACATGTTTCTAATGTCAAAGCAAATATAGAAATCCAACATGGGGTCACTGGGTCCAAGTTTTGATATAGCCCCCATATAACCGTATCTCCCGATTTAAGGTATTTTTGTCTATTAGACACATTTTACAATCAAATTGGCTGTAATTTGGCACAGAGTGTTCTTTTTGGGTACTAAATGTCTATGCAAAATTGTATGTATATAGGTCCACGTTTACTGGTAGCCCCCATACAAAGGTACCCCTATTTTGAGTATTTACCCAAAAATTGGGTATAAACTCATTAACTGCCGAACCACTTGACATAGACGGCCAAAATTTTGCATACATGTTTCTAATGTCAAAGCAAATATAGAAATCCTTAAATCGGGAGATACGGTTATATGGGGGCTATATCAAAACTTGGACCCAGGGACCCCATGTTGGATTTCTATATTTGCTTTGACATTAGAAACATGTATGGACGTTTGGTACCCAAAAAGAACACTATGTGCCAAATTAAAGCCAATTTGATTGTAAAATGTGTCTAATAGACAAAAAATACCTTAAATCGGGAGATACGGTTATATGGGAGCTATATCAAAACTTGGACCCAGGGACCCCATGTTGGATTTCTATATTTGCTTTGACATTAGAAACATGTGTGCAAAATTTTGGCTGCCTATGTCAATTGGTTCGGCAGTTAATGAGTTTATACCCAATTTTTGGGTAAAAACTCGGGTATTTACCCACGTCTTTAAAGTATCGTAAAACTATCCAACCAAATCGATTTGATAACAGAAACCCGGAAATAGGGTGTAAGATGTTGTACTACCGACTCAATATAGTAAATACCCAAATAAATACCCGCAAATGGGTATTTACCCACCCCTTGGGTATTTACCCGGTAAATACCATCTCTAAAGCCAATTTGATTGTAAAATGTGTCTAATAGACAAAAAATACCTTAAATCGGGAGATACGGTTATATGGGAGCTATATCAAAACTTGGACCCAGGGACCCCATGTTGGATTTCTATATTTGCTTTGACATTAGAAACATGTGTGCAAAATTTTGGCTGCCTATGTCAATTGGTTCGGCAGTTAATGAGTTTATACCCAATTTTTGGGTAAAAACTCGGGTATTTACCCACGTCTTTAAAGTATCGTAAAACTATCCAACCAAATCGATTTGATAACAGAAACCCGGAAATAGGGTGTAAGATGTTGTACTACCGACTCAATATAGTAAATACCCAAATAAATACCCGCAAATGGGTATTTACCCACCCCTTGGGTATTTACCCGGTAAATACCATCTCTATACATGTGTACACAAGTATGACTATATACAGCAACACTGTTGTCCTTATCTGCCAATTGGGTAGAGAATTATTTCCGTATACAGCATTAGAAATGTTATTTTTTGTTTTAAACAGAACATAATAAACAATTCGAACACATTAAATCAGCAACTTGGAATAATGCAATTTCGAAAATAATACACTTTGGTAGTAGACATTCCGACTTTGTAGATATTACTGTTCATATTGCAACACACTGTTGTGGTTTTTGCCTAATAATTTCCTTTTACATCAACAAACAAGGATTTCCACAATCACAACACAACCGAGTCGAGTCGTTTACTCAATCGCTACCATAAATGGTATAGGAAAATTATGATGATTAAATATTAACATTGCTAGTTTCACAATTTGAAATAAAAACAAAATAGAAAACACGCGCGTTCCTTCACATTACATGTGTAACACGCGCGACGCCTAGTGTGTATCTTGAATGTCAACTGTATACTGAACATTCGCTGAGGGCCCCACATTAGTCGGAGGAGGTGGCACACTCATGACATTATTCGGCAAGTATTTGTATTTGGATACAGCCAAATCCAGACGACGAGCACTATTACTCATTTTCTCGACAATCGAAAAGTGATTGTGGTGATGTTTGTGCTGAAATTATTTTCCAAATGCTATCCAAATTTTACACCACACTATTGTCAACATTTCTTAACCAATATAATAGAGATTAAAGCTGTTCGGAGTGAAAGTTTGTATTTTCATGTTGTCAAAGAGAAACAAATTAAAGAGAATGCGCTGTGCCAAAGATGAGAATAAAAATGCTACACATGGATAGACAAATGTACGACACACCACTATTTGAAGTATTTTCTTTAACAAACTTTTTCTTCGTAATTACATATGCATAGACCGGTATATCACATGGCTATGAATGCCACTCTACTCCAACATTCCCAATTATCCTGGAGGGATAATTGGAGTATTCGCTGGCAACAAACAGAATAGATTCCTTGCAATAATATTAACAAAATAAAACAAAATGGCATGAACAGGGTATGTTAGGGTTTTAAAAATCGAAGTTA